GTGGCCCTGCCCCGCACCCCCCTGCGCGCCTTCCCCGAGCTCGGACCGCGCCTCCGACACAAGCAGTGCGGCGCCGCCACGGCCCTGCGCGACCGCCTCGCCCGCGCCCTGTGAGCGGGGGGCCGGGAGCGGGGGAGGGTGTTTTGGGGGCAGGGCTGTGGGAGCGGTTTGGAGGGTGGGATGCTTGAGGCCCTGGTGGGTTGGGGGGATACCGTAGCTCCGTGCCGTGGGCCCGGGTGTTCCTTGGTCTCACTCCCGGGAAAGAGCCGCTTTGCCCGAGTCGGTCCTGGCGCCGTCCCAGAATTGGCGCGAGTGCCGCCTCCTTACCGCTCGCCCCTCGCCCGGCAGGGCGGCGTTGCAGCAGGTCCGGGACGCTGTCAGTGGCCGTGTGGGCACCGTTTTCCAGCTGTACGAGGAGGCAGCTGCTGAGCTGGGGCTGGAGGCGGCTGTGCAGCGCTCGGCGCTCAGCCCCTCCTTGGCCGACGCACTGGCGTGGCTGCAGGACGTGGAGCACTATTACCGGCAGGCGTATCCTTCCCCGCGGATCTCGGTGGTGCTGCTTGCTGTGGGAGGTGGTGGCTGTCTTTGGCCCACGTGGGTCCTAGATCCTAGGAGATGCTCCCGTGTTTGGTTTATGTGGAAGAGCAGAAGCCCGAGGTCTCGAAGGGGGAGCCAGGTGGGGGGAATCGGGCCCGAGTCCCCTCCCTCGGAGCAGGGCACTCGCTCCGTATGAAGCCCAGCTGCTTGCGGTTCTTTTCCGTTGTCCTTCCTGACGTTGGTCCTTACCTACCAGCAAGGTACCTAGAGTGTAAGCTTCTCCTGCTCCAAGCGCACCACGAGGACTTGTCCGAGCTGGAGGCCCTGCCACAAGCCTGGGAGAGGCTTTTGGAGCGCCACAACCCAGACATCGTGGAAGGTAATTGGACTGCTAGCCATCGGCGCATCCCCAGGGGAGTGCAGAGCGGGGCTGGTGGCCCCAGAGTCTGGAAGCTGCCACGGGTTGCGTGATGCGACGCTGCCGGGTGGGGGCTGTTACTACTGGTTGTGCACACCTCTCCTCTGGGACCTGGATCGAACCGGCTGAACAGTCATCTTACAGTGACTGCTTGAAGTCACTGCAAGCCTGGACTTGAAGCGGGGCCTCCAGCAAGGGAAAGGCTCCGTCTCCTGTTTGATGACTTCCCCAAGGGCCTGGTCTTGCTGCTGGGAGTAAGCTGAGATGGGGTGCGTCTCTATTTCTGTCTGTGAGCCCAAACGATGTAGTGCTTGGCCCAGCACTAATGGCTCTTTCCTTTTCTTCCCAACTCAGACACTCTGCTGAAGGTCTCGCTCTTCCTGGAGACTGGGTGAGAGATGCGTCCTAACCAGCCAGCAGAGAGGACAGCAGGGACCTCAGAACAAATCTGTTGAAGTGCCCAGGCCAAGACTTTGCGGAGAACAGAGAGAGAGCGAGCCTGGCTTTGAGTTGGTAGAGAGCAGGGTGCACCCTGCTGTGAGCTATGTTTTAGGAGGCTTTTGCCAAGTGGGATGAGCCTGGCAGCCTGTCTGAAGGCTGAGGGGTGTGTAGGCCCTGTTGCATCGGTAGTCTTGCTTTAGCAGCTGGAGCTGTTCTTGGAGGCCAGATGAAGGAGGAAATGGGAGGAAGGTTATCTTTAGTTCTGGGAGACCCAATAATACCTGCTCTCACAGGTGTCTTAGATATTAAAGGCAAAACAGTGCACATTGAAAAAAATCAAGGAGTGCTTGTCTGGTGATTAAAGGGGGTTTCAGGTCTAAATACATGCTAGAGCCATCACACACAAACATTTCACCTCCTGCCTTTGTGGGCCAACCACAGCTTACTAAACCAGGGAGTTGGCAGTGAGAGGTTGGTGTTTATTCCCAGGTATTCCACTCTTCCTCCCAAACATGCCGTCAGTTTCCTTGTCTGTTTGTGGGGCCTTACAGCAGCAAAGAGGAAGGAAGGGGCACTTTGAGGATGTGCTTGTGAAGCCCCAGAAACACAGCTCCAGAAATCACATTTTCTAACAAGTGACTCATTTTCTAAACTGTGTCACGGTGCGTTCAACACATGCATGCTCTCGGTCACATGGTTCTAAGCACCTTTCCCCAGCAGCGGTTCCTATTTTACTGATGCTCCCTGCGCTACAAGATGATAAACTGATTGGTATGTTAAAATAAGCTACCTCTGCTGATGGGGATAAGCTGCTCCAACCACAGTGGGGCAGATTCAACACAAGTCAGCAGTGAGGCAGCTCAAGGAGCTCACCCTGCCCATTACCAGTTGCTTTCCCTTTGGCACAGTTTCTTTACGGGTTGAACCCTGGGCTTTCCCAGACCAGAGAGAATCTGTTGTGTTGAGCTGCCCCCTTCTAGGGGGATTTGCATTTCTTACAGTGATTAGGGGCAGCGTGGCCCTGCGGGTTGCTGGGGCTGAGTGATGGTTTTGCCATATATGCTCCGAGAACAAGGGTGATGTCCCTTGGGTTTGGAAGATGGGTGTCCACCAGGGGGTAGCATGGACCTTTCCTCTGCTAAAATTCATCCCTTCCACCTGTTTCCAAGTACAAGGAATAACTTGCTGCCAGAAAAGGGGAAGACCTTGTTGTAAACAGAAGAGAACTGCCCATAGCAGCTCTGCTTCCTTGGCAAAGTGGCAGTAGTGACATGCTGACCCCTGCTGAAGCAGATCCCCCTCTCCTCTGAGACTGATGTGATGGGATTCTTAGGGGAGGATGACAAATGTCCTGTAAATGCTCCAGTGTGGGCATCTGCTGCCCCTGGGGCTGAGACAGCAGAGGACTGTTTTGCACTTGCTAGTAGCATTTGTCACTGGCTTCTGGAAGAGCGGTTTCTCCTGGGACAAGGCAGACTTTCAACCCCCTCAGCAAAAGAAGAGCAGGGAGCAAAGCAAAGCCTTGGGCTGCCTGGGGGAGAGGGGTGTTCTCTTAATATCTGCACCCCTCTTACCAGCTCACTAGGGTTGGGTAATGAGATGAGGGGAAGAGTCTGATGACTCATCATATCCCATGATATGTGCTGTGGGAACTGAACTCTGCTGGTACAGCGGTTTTCCCCTGCGTGAGCCTGTCTGTCTCTAGTGAGGCTTGCTGCTCAGTGCCATCAGAGGCTGCTGGCAGCTCTAAGGACTTTACCTATTGTTTGCAGCAGACTGGTAACCACTAAAACGCCTCAGCTACTTGCTTGAGCCTGCTAGGCAGTGGGGTGTAGGCAAGAGTTTTCCTTGTGGATTCCATCACTGAGCAGCCAGGCCAGCAGGACGCCGCCTCTAGTGTAGCCCCTGCTCAAGGCAGGATCATCCCTGTCTAAACCAGCCTACCCCCGTGTTTGTCTCAGCTGTTCTTGAACGTGCTGGGAGCAAACCTTCACGTTCAACCCTCCATAACACCCTTCGTGCTTTTGGGATGAGTCTTAAGCCTAAAGTTTGGCCACGTGGGGGCGCTGCCTGACCTGCCAGCGGTACTCTCATGGCTAAGGAGAAGTCAGAGCAGGCTCATCTGCCATGTGCTGCGCCCAGTACCAGCCACTCTGTGCTGCAGTCTGATCGGTCTCAGCTGCACTTGTAGTTTGAAGGGGAGATTAAAAGAGCTGTGAGCTTTCCTCTGCTCCACTTCCCGTGCATCTGACACGGCATCTGTATTAGCCAGACTGTTTCCCACGAGGGTATGCAGACATTGCGCACGTTCTCTCAAGCAGGCCTGGGGCAGACTGAGATGCCTAGCCAGCTGGGTCAGTCCTCCACACTCCTAGTGCACAGACCTGCTTCCATCTGCATGACCCCCAACACCTGCCAGGTCCCTGGGGAAGAGCCAAAGCAAAGGTGCTCAATGCAGTGTGTGTAACAAACAGCATTTGTATCTTCCAGAGCAGGCAGGCAGGCAGGTTCTGCTCTGCATCTCTGCGGTAGGTGGAGAGCTGCTGGTGGGAGCTGACCTCCTGCCCTGGCACTGAGGGGCCAGAAATCCTGCTGCTGCTTCTCCCAGGCTCCTCCTAGGTGGAGGAGGATGTGGAAATATGGCTGTACTAGGGGGGAGAGGCGAGACCCTCTAGCTGGGGACCTGGCTGATGCAGAGCGTGGCCCAGATCTTGCTCCCTTTGCCCCAGCATTGTGCGCAGCCCCACAGCTTGGGCAGGAGGGGCTCAGCCTCGGGCCCAGGTCAGTCTTGGGCAGGAAGGGCTCAGCTTGCACTGCTGTGATGCAACGAGCTCTGGGCTGGGACATGAGCGGCAGGAAAGGCAGCCGCGGCCCTGGGAATGGGCGAGCCAGCGCTCTGAGGGCGGCAGCTAATGGGAAACACGCCGGGTGCCACTGCAAACACTGATTATCGGCTCCTTGAGATGTCTCGGAGCGACGTGGAGCCGCCGCCCCCTGGGGTTGAGGGACAGGATCTGAAAGGCAGCGTGGCCCACCTAATGGGGAGCAGCTGCGTGGCCTCGTGCTCAGCCCACATGGCACGAAGCTGCCAGGCCCCGGTGCAGAAGGACGCCGGCCTGGCCTCGGTTGCGCTTCTCCCAGAAAGCATCAACCCCCCGATGCTCCTGGAGGCAGACCGACAGGCAATGACGCATGCAGAACATTGGCTTCTCCGGGCTGGGAGCTTCTCCCGTCTGACCACAGCGTCCTCAACTGCCACTTCGTAAAGGAGAGCTGGAGTTACAGGCTTGGCCCAAGCCAGCAGCTAGCTGCCACCTCCCCTCCCAGCCAGCCGGGCGCCGGGTGTTCTGGGTGCCTGGGGCGGCGCTCCAAGGCCGGGTCAGCTGCGGCTCTTGCCTGGCTTTGGATGCACATTTAGATGGCTTTTGAGGCTGGTGGAGGCATAGGGAGGCTACGTTTCCATATGCATCCCTGGGAATGGGCCTCCGGGGTCCCCCAGAGGGGTTGAGACTCTCGTCCTGATTCCCAGTGAGGCTCGGCAGGCAGTTGTGCCATTTGTGAGGCTGCCTCGTCATGCGGAGTAATGCCTTAGTGTCCCACCGAGATGTCGGAGCCTCACATTGCATGCACGCAGCTTGGTCACTGGTGCACTGCCCTGATATTCTGGAGCCGAGCTGTCCACCCAAAGCCTTCAGCACCGCCGTAACAATGGTCACCCCCAGGCAAGTGGCACGCCACCCTAGTGCCAGAGCTGAGATGACGTGGGTACTACTGAAAATCCTCCTCCCGGTGGGTTATTAGGAACCCACTGGGGATACAGAGATTGTTTCCCCTGCCCCTGAAATGCAGTCAGTAAAGTCCAGGGTAGCATGGGAAGGGGAAGGTCTCTTGTGCGGAGGTGACTGCAGGGGCATTTAGGGAGGGAGCATCGAATGGAGCTGGAGTTTGATGTGACTTTTGGGAGCTGATGGATTGAGGGGTCAGGTGCAATGCAAGTCCTCAGCAAAGCTCCCCGAGGCCTTTCTGGCCCCCAGCGGCTCGGAGCTCTGCACAGCGGGACAGTGGTGGGGACCTATGGGGAGGCCAACATACCTGTCAGATTCCTCTGTGACGTGTGGTTGACAGGACACGCCACGGCTTGTGTCCATCCTCCATGCTCTGCAAGGGCACAAAAGCGGCCGCGCATCAGTGTGCTCTAATTGGATACAACTGTTGGCCTCGCTGGCTCTCAGGCACTTCACATTACAGGGCAGGCTGGCTGCCAGGAGCCCCAGTTGTTAACAAGCTTGTCTTTCCTCACATGTGTTAGTTCCTTTGCAGCCAGGACCTGTCAGAGAATCTCCCCAGGTTTGGGGGTTTCCTGCTGCTGATCTCCGGCTCTGCGGAGGAGGAGAGAGGACATCTCCTGACAGCACACGCATTGCATGCTGCCCGACATGCCCGAGAGGACAGGTTGCATGCGTGCTTGCCCTGTCCCTTGGATGTAGGGTTGAGTGGGACAGCCAGAGGCCCAGCTGGCTCTGCACTGGGTAGCAGGGGCAGCCAGGAGACACCAGGCTCATGGCCCCTGACCTTGCAGCTGGAGCACGGGCCTCTGGGTGCTCCAGAGAAGCAGAAAGAAACTGCTTGGCTCTTCATCTAGCTCCTCATTCATTGCTAGGACTGAGCTACGGCCTTTCCCATCATCACGGTGCCATGCCTCCACCTGGGTGATCCCCCCCTGCAGTGCTGGAGCTGGAGTGCCATGCTTTCTCACAGCTGCAGGATAGATGTCCCCTTCCTTCCAGACCTTCTGCTTCTTCTCCGGGGAGAATTATACTCTGGGGTTGAAGGTTGTGGGTTCTAATCTCCCCTGATTCATGAGCGCAGCCAGCTGCTGACAGCGCTCTGTATACATAACCACAGGAGCCCGCCTGGCCATGTGACCAGTTCTTCCTGATTAAATACCCCTAGCCCTAAATGAAAATGAGTTTGAGCCTCTTTGTTTTTGGAGCAAGTTCCTTTAAAAAGTCTGCTTGGCAGAGGCCTCTTTTCCAGGAATGCAATAAAGCAAGATTAGCAGCTGGAGCTACCTTGTTAAAACAGAGCGTGCAGGAAACACAAAGCCCCTGCTTTGATATTCAGCTTTGCCTCCCTCTGTCTTAATGTGAAAATAGTTATTCCTCATTTGCAGGAAAAGCACAACCAAAAATCAGTTACTAAAGTTAAATACCCGCCAGACGTTTATAGGCGACAGCTGATTTCTATCAGTCCGTTTGTTTCTCTGTGTATGGAGGGTTTTGCTAGGGCCTGCACCATCGCTTCCCAATGCAAAGTGATCTCTGCAT